TGCTCACGCTCCTTTCTCCTCGTCGGCTCCTCAAGCCTTGCATCCATCCAGCCGCAGACCGTTCAACAGCACCGATCTCTCCGCTGAACAAAGCGGGGCTGTGAAAATGCTGCCCATTACAGGTGCAAGATACAAGCGCCCCGGAGCTGTCCAGCAACGACAGTCAAATGGCGCCGACATTCCTCCCAATCAAAAACAGTGCTGGCATACCCATGCTGCCGAGAAGGCGCAACCACCAAGCACCGAGTCTCCTCCTTGATGAATGTCGTGGCCAAAAAATGCTGAAAACAGTCCACATCAAGTCCACACGACGTAACAACAAACACAAAGTGACAAAACAAACAGAAAAACAACCAAAAAAGGAAGGCTCACAAGAGCACTTGCCAACGGCTGCCTACTCGGGCGCCATCTTGGACTTCATAAGTTCATTGTAAATGTGACGTGATATTATAAATACCGTCTTGTGTTGGGGCTATCATCCATCCATCCATCCATTTACTGATCTGCTTATCCTCACAAGGGTGGTAGGGCATGCTAGAGCCTATTCCAACTGTCTTCGGGCAGTAGCCGGGGTATACCTTGAACTGGTTGCCAGCCAATCTTTTTCATTGGGGCTAGTTTTTGTTATAATAAATTGTAAATTCATTCCAGCTCTGGCATTCTCTTTGTGTTACCCTGGGGACTGAGAAATAGTTCCTTTCTTTTTACCTTTCTGTTATGTCATGCACCTTGCACTTAACAGGTACGGAACACCGATCCTGTTTTTGCTTAAAAAAGCCAACTTGCTGTTTTTGTGCTTTTTCTGAAATGTCCTCAGATCAGAAATCTACAGTATATATGTTAGGGGTGAAAGAATACATGTATTTGTATCGAAAACATTTGATAAGGGGGTCACGGTTCTGGAAGCACCGCATCCAAGAATGCGTTTTTTTTCTCAATGTATTTATTTAGTTCTTAATCACGATTATTTCAGTGGCGATTGCTCTCGGCTTCCCTAAAATGTCAAAGAATAAATGATCAAATATATGAATGTAAATTCCATTGTGTGTACATGTCATTGATTAAATATGCGCTACAACGTGCTCACCTTTTGTTCCGAATCAGCTTCTTCTTACTGGTTACGACGCGACTCCCTTCTCATTCATTCCCGCAGATTCGCTGTGCTTTAAACGGTGGACGCTGAGCATCTGCTGAGCGTCGACTGCCCGGACGCCGAGAGTCTCGAGAGTTCAGGGTAAGTTGTCCCAATGCGTTGAACGGAGACGAGTCATTGGATACAAACTGATTTTTGTCCCGCGGGTACCGGACGCTCAGTTTTTCTGCATCAGATTGGATGATCTGTCCGAGCCTGTGTTCCAGTTTGATTGGCATCGAAATGAGCAAATCACTGACCTTTTAGTGTAGGCATCCGTGGGAGCACTTTCAATTCTCATTCTGTTCTAAGTTGAACTGGAGACGACTTCTAATCATCTTAGCGACACTCTCTTTGTTGAAAACGATAAGCGATGAATTAATCTTTTATTACTGGTAGGTTTTATTGTAGTTGCTGTAGTTGAAGGACACAAGTTAAGTTCCTGAAAAAGATGCCTTGTTGGTATGACAGGGTTGCAGATAATTTTCTTGAAAAGGAACAGAGAGTAGAATTCACGTTTATATAAACCAGGGGTGCCCAAACTTTTTGGACCGAAGATCTACTTTTCGATCAACTAACCTCCCGGGATCTACCCTTACCGGCCGCGCGCGTGCACACACGCACGCACGCACGCACGTCATGATGCGAAACAGCCTGAAACTCAGGCCACGCCATGATGAGAAACAGCCTGAAACTGAGCCATGCGATGCACTTTTGTAGCCTGTTAACTATCGTAGCTCACACGTACCGTTTTAAAGTGCTTCCCTGGGCCCTCCTAGATTCCTATTCTTTGCCCGCACCCTCGGTGAATTGTACACGAAGCAAACTCTGAATGAGAATAATGACGACAAAAGATAGAGCGCAACAGCTCTGATCACAAGCTGCAATTGCAGACTGCTGAGTGCAAACAAGTTCTGGTGACGTAATCACGCGCCACCGTAAATTCAAGATTTACCTGCTTTATTTTATTTTAATTTTTTTTGTGTGAAAATGAGACTGATAGGATGATTAGGGTGCAGCGTACATTAGCACAAAAAATATATGACTAATATGTACAAAGACACACAAATGGTTGTTTGTTTTTTTTCTCCTTGACACTCCTCGGATCTACTTGGGACCTGTCTTAGATCTAC